AACAGTCCATGGCAGAGTAGGCAGAAGGCGGGAGCAGCCTCCTTATCCCTTTTATTCCATCTAGGCTACAAACCTTTTGGCTGGTGCCACCCTCACCCAGGGTGGACCTTCCCATTATCCACACCCAGAACTATGCTAAACCTAGTAATTACACACCCTTAGTCTATATCCATACACCCTAGATCCAATCTTCCCTGAAAAGCCCCACCTGTGAGCACATGAGGCTTTGGGGGGACATCTAGAAACAAGTCATAAGAAAGTATAAATAATTTTTCAAAGATAGAGAGTTCCCCCCTCACTGAGGACACATGGAAACCCTGCAGAGGACAGAGTTTGCAAGTGTGAGTTCCTGTCGTCAAGATCCTTGCTCTCAGGAATCCTGAGGAGGCAAATCAGTGCTGTGAGCTGCCCTTCCTCTTGATGTAGGAGGAAAAATTCCTTGTTACCACTAGGAGGTGTCACTACTGCCCATGGTGCAGCAGCTCTGACAGGCCATTCATTCACATCCCTTCTTAGAAGCTAGGGGAGGTCTAAACCAGGTTACCACAGTTGCCACTCCCTCTGGAGAGCAACTTGCACATTTTTTCCCGATGAAATGACGGGTTTGATGAGAATAGGCAGGCTGGGTGGCTTTGTGCTCTCCGTCTGGGGTAGGACGGTGCTGTTTGATGTGACCACTGACTCTTTCCCACCTGCCAGTGCAGCTGTGTCTGAGTTTATCCAGTGTGCAGAAGCAGGGTGTGTGCTGGTGCCAGAAGGAGCCTAGAGTCCTGGTTCCCGGGTGCACGACCCAGGCCCTCCACGAACTGGCCACAGGCGTGTGTGGAGTTGCTCGCTGCACACAGTCTGGATCTCGCTCGGCACCATGGCTGCCCAGCTGGCGGATGGCCTGAGAACACTCGGGAGGCAAGAGCTCTGCCCCATTCATCACATGATCTTTCATAAGTGACTCCCTGAGATCAGGCAGTTAGAAAACAGCAGAAGCAGAGGCAGAACGAGATGCTTCTTTTGTTTGGCTGTGCCAGCTCCAAAGTAGTCTTCCACCCCTCAGATGCAGGCACCGAGCTTCCAGTTACTCCTCTGTGGGGTCAGCAGGGGTGGTGAGCTGTGAGCGAGTGTCTCGCAGCGTCCCCTAGCTGTGCCTAAGGTTCAGCCTGCTCGCAGCCAAGCTTCAGAAACCCAGGGGGCATCACTCTGGGTTGTCAGACAATCCCAGGGAGAGACCTCAGGTAAGGCATGTAACAGACTGCAGCTCTGTACTGTGTCCTGCACTTCCTGTGTCATCGACTCTTAGTGTCTTAGACACATCATGAATCGCAACAACTAATGACAGGGGTCAGGGGGCCGGTGGGACTCCCCGTCCCTGTTACTACAGGAGCCTGTGCTCTTGGAGCCTTGGACCCTCCCGTGTTAAGCAGAGGAGGGATGCCAACTCCACAGCATATGTACAGAGATGACATAAAAATGCTCAGAGAAGGCCAGTGGGTAGCTGGCAATAATGACATTGTTCCCGACAGTAATATGATAAGTAATAATTTCTAATTATACGTAAACTTTCTCTTTTGAAGGAATATTCAATCATATGTGGTGAATAGAAGTGAAAATGGAACATAGAAAATGCACTTCTTTTTCAATTTTGGTGCGTGCGTGTGTGTGTGTGTGTGTGTGTGTGTGTGTGTGTGTGT